TCTCTCTCTCTCTCTCTCTCTCTCTCTCTCTCTCTCTTTCTGGGTCTCTAACTGGCCCCAGGCATCGCAGGCCAGGTTCTGGTGGAGCCCAGGGCATCTGTCTCCTCTCAGTTGTGGTACAAAGAGCCACCATTTATGGCTTAAAAAAAAAGTAATTGTGAGCATTAAACATGTCTCTGTGCCCTTTATCAACCCAACTATCTCCCCAGCATGGGTTTTTGGTTTGGTTTGGGTTCGGGTTTTTTTTTTTTTTTTTTTTTGAGCGGTCTCACAATGTGGTTCAAGCTGGCCTCAGACTTGCAGCAGGCTTCTGGCGTCAGCGTCCCTCCACCCCCACCCTCAGTTCTGGGAGCCCAGCTCCAGGCCTCCCCCATACTTTCCCATTAGTCATTCAGAGTCCCTTGAACAGTCCTCAGACAACACGGACACACAGCTTTCAGTGAGAAGGGAACATGACCTAGCCTGGGAAGCCTTGTTGATTTATTTTTTTTATATAAATAATAATAATAAAACTACTACCCTGACTCTTCATAATAAAAGATTGTTTCAATGAACTGTTCTTCAGCTGGTCATCCGTCCTGTCTAGAGTGTCTTCATTTTACTAGTGCACCGAGAAATTTCCCGGCATGCAGGTCAAAGCGGCTTATTTTTCCCTTCTCTGCGCCTCTAACGCGAAGAACTCCACGCTCTACATGTCTCGCAGACTCCATTAGCAAGCGCGCTGCAGCTCTCTGGCGCAGGAGCTGTTCTCCCTGATGGGGTTTAATAGCACCAGAGCCTCTCGATGCTAGACGAAGGTTCAGGATTAGACGGGAAGGAGCGAGGTGAGTAAGCACAAAGCAGGACCGGATGTGAGCGCTGACAGCTGAAAATGACGGCGGCTGGGAAAGCCTCCCACAGCCGGCCGATAATGGACTCCACCATACTTCAACCGAGAGGGGCTGGGAGGTCATGGAAACGATAAGGGGTTCTGAAAAGGCACAACTCATCTCGTCTTAAGCTTCCTGAAAGTATTCTTGCTGACTCAAAGAAGGTCCTAAAATGGAATCCAGTTGCTCGGGTTGAGTGTCATTTGGGTAAAAAGCCCACAGGAGTGGGTCCACCTGCCAATGGGACAGCTTCACAACTACCCGTTGGCCTGTTTCTCTGGTTGGTTCAAAGTTAGGAGGGAAAAGAAACTGAGGAGTTGTGGGTTATTTGTCTAGTCCTGGCCATTAGAGGGGAATCTCTCAGCTTTCAGGGCTGGTTGCTGAATCCCTACAAGTCACAGCCTCTGGAACTCTGTTCTCACAGAAGCTCTATTAGCTGTCAGACTCTTGGCTGTGATCTTATTGCTTCAGGTGTCTTTAAGAAACGACCAGAGACTGGGGATTACCAATACTCGGGAAGGAACAAGTGTGAAAGAGACATCTTGTCCCATTATCAAATCACGAGAGAGCAAAGGCAACCGGGCAGACTGGCCTGATTACCCTTGCATTGGGTGGATTCTGTCACCGTACGTTGGTGACTTAGGTGCAGAAGCATGACCATGAGTATTCCGGAAGACCTCCCTCCAGGGTCCCCCTCCTCTTACCTGCCCTTGTTCGGGATGACTTCTTGCTTCTCCACCTTTCTTCAGTCACCAGCTTCTCTTCTCAAAGGTCTGAGCTCAGAGCGAAGGCTCAGAGGAGGGATTACACAAGCAAGCGATGCGGGTGGGCACAAGCTTACAGCTCCTTCCCCGTGACTGTGACTCGGGGCTCTAAGGAGGGAGCCTGCAGAAGGTGATAAGAGTTTCCCATCAGGGGAGTTCTGGGCTTGTGACTCAGGGAACACACCAGGCAGGTTGGAAGAAAATATCACAGGGATATTTGGTGTTCTGGGAAGTGTGATACTGGAGTCTCAAGGCTTTCTGGACAATAGGAAAATACGGGTCTGACGCCACCCAGAGTGGTACAGTTCTTGGGGATATTTCCATCTATCTGGCTTTATAGGTTAGAGACAAAAGCAAGCACGTGGGTTAGCAACCATCGTCCTTGGTCACTTGGGAAGCTCTCTGTTCTTGTGGACTTCAGTTTGGTGTTTTCATGCTCAGAGGTCGTGTTCTGTCCTCAATAACAAGGCCCCAGTGGAAATAGCTGTGACTAGGTGACGGGGAATCTCTGTCAGCCAATCATCTTTAAGAAGCGGGACCAGGTTAGGGCGTGACCTTTTGAGTACCTGGAGATAAACGCTGGGCGGCCATGGTTGGGTTCTCTCTGTGGTTCCCGTGCTACACAGCTGAGCTTGGACTTCTCGTCCCTGTTTCCTAAGTTTGCCGCTTATAATAAAGAAGAATACAATTGGTTCACCTTGGAGTTAGCCTGGTATTCTTTGACCCGCATCATTTAACAAATGGTGCCAACATGGACAACTATATCCACATAAAACCTGAGAGAATTTGGGAAGGAATTCTAGACACAAAAGAACAGAGTTAAGCACGGCTTCTTGGTAGCAGCATTTTCTCAGGTAGGCTCTGCTTGCTGGCTTCTCATTCAAAAGAGGCTTCCTGACTCAGCTTTAGCTGCAAAAACCTTGCAGCTCTTTTAAGAGGACCCACCAGCAAACACTTAAATGGTGTTTGTGAATAACGAACAGCGTGTTTCTTGGTTGTAGCAGGAACCTTGAAACTCCATAGAGTTGTGGCAATAAACATGGCTCTGGTCAGTACCTTCATCATGAGTCTGGACTTTTAGAAAGTTAAGGAATGGGGTGGATCCAGCCGTCAAAGCCACGACTTTAATCCTAGTCATATCACTTAGCAAATTAAAGACCCATGTGGTCAGAAAAAGAGATAGAAAGTAAAGATAGATTCAAAGATGAAAAAAAAAAACCTCTAAACGGTTTACAGTGTGTTAAAAAAATATAATTTGGCTTGGGAGAGAAAAGAAAAAGGATAAAGTCCTTAAAAAAAATTAAGAAAGAGAGTAGTTGGGTGTGGTGGCACATGCCTTTAATCCCAGTACTTGGGAGGTAGAGGCAGGTGGATCTCTGTGAGTTCCAGGACAGCCAAAGACACACGGAGAAACCCTGTCTCAAAAAAAAAAAAA